GAAAAGCAGCCCCTCCCCACCCCATGCCTGGCGCCCCGCGCTGGAGCTGCTCGCAGCCCCATGCGAGCTGCAAGCAGCTGCAGTGTGGGGCGCTGGCCATCGGGCGAGGGAGGGGCCGCTTTTCCCCCACCCCCTGCTCCTTCCCTGCCCGGGGTCCCCCCCTGCCCCTGAGGTTTCAGTGCAGGGCAGCCATGTGCTCCCAGGCCACAAGCCCTGGCTGGGGCTTCCCACCGGGTGGGTGGCCTCTGCTGTTGTGGGAGCCCACCGGGCTTCCCCTGGGTCCTACTGCCCTTGTTTCTTGTCAGTTTTGACAGGAACCAAGGGCAGATAAATATTAATTTTCTACATTTTTTAGGGGCCCTGCAGGCCGGATAGAATGACCTTGCGGGCCAGATCCGGCCCGCGGGCTGTATTTTGCCCACCCCTAGCCTAATATGAAATCTCCTGGATAAGAACGACCATCTTAAGCTAACCTTGAGGGATAAAGCCTGGCCTGGCTTCAAGGCAGACCCTTCAATTTCAGACAGCGGTTGTGGGAGGGGGTTGCCTTTTTTTCTAGCATTGATATGGTCCTCTGAGCATATAGGGAGTCTATACATGTGCTCCTGGGTAAGTGGGGGGAGGGGAGCACTTTAATTAGAGTGACTCTGAGAGCTGCTGTAATTAAAGTGCTCACAGTGTCATGTGTATTCAGCATCCCATACTTCAAAATGGTGGTGGGGGCACTTTAAATAGAGTTCGTTCAAAGCTTGTTCAACGAGCTTTAGTTAAAGCACCCTTGCCACCATTTTGAAATGTGGGGATACTGAATACACGTGATACGGAGGCTGCTGGAGCACGCTAATTAGCATGCTCCAGCAGACTTGCAGAAGAGTTGATTAGTTGCATGTGCTCTGATGCATGCTAATTGGCACGCGTCAAAGCAGAGCTCCATCATGTGTATAGGTGCCCATATTTTCCACGTTACTTCTTTGCCAAGTGGTGGCAGTTCATTAATGACACCTTTATCAGGAGCAGTAGTAGTGCTCTTAAAGGGGAGCATAATTTCTTATTTAGACTTAATTCAAGGTGTTTAAAAATAACAGATTATAACTGAATTGGTTTTAATGTTAGTTAGGTATGTATATATCTTAGAATATTGGGGCCTTAGTTACTTCTCAGGTGTCTGACATGTACAGATTTTACTTAGATTTAAATGCCTGAAAACCTCTGAGGATTTTGGCCTAAAAAGATGCTATACAAAAGTCATATTTTACCCTTGATTTCTGGTGTAAACTTCCCTGTGTCATCAGAGCAAGCTTGACATCCCCACTCTAAATGTTAAAAAGTGTGCCTTTCAAAATGCTTTCTTTCTTTTTACCTTTTTTTTTTTTTTTTTGCATTCTTTGTAAAGAAGATCTGACAGATTTCCCCTACTCCTTTTCTCCCCAAAGGTTGTTTGGACCCCCTCCCATTATTGGTGTTTGATCTCTTTGTCCTCCACTGTTCAAAATGACCTCCTGGGGTCCTTGTACACATGACAGGGGGTATAGTTCCCTAAACTGAAACAATGGGTTTTTAATTGCATTGATTAAAAACCCACTGTTTCAATTTAGGGGTTTCTGTCACTGTTACATTGGGGGTCCTGATCCTTTTTTTTTTTTTCCATCCCCCCTCCCCCTCCTGAGCATGCCTGGGTCTCCTGCGGCCGCGGGGGGGGGG